AACCGCAAAACAAGCAGCGGCCATTCGACCCTTAGGGCCACAACGTTGGTAATTCGAAACGAAGTATTTGGTGCTAATCGAAATTGTGCTGTTAGAAAATGCAGGGTTTGATTTGTACAAATTGCCAAGACCGGTACCATTCGAAATGCGTCAAAGTCTGTAGAACCGCCATGAAAATTACAATACGCCTGCTTCACTTTGGTTCTGTCTGAAGTGCACGTCGATTCCGCTGTTAAAATACATACTAACGTTAACACAAAGTAGGACAGAATAGTCGCCGAAACTGAACATCTTTTGAATGAAAATTTGCTTCGCTCGAAGCGACAGCGGCGCATGCTGCACCTCATCGGGCTCCCACAATCCCTGCCTCGAAACAAAGGAACGGGCCATCCGTTCACACAGCCACACAGTATTAGAAACCTAGGGAATCAATAACCAACTCGTCATGTCGACCGATAGAAGCATGCCCAGCCCCACCGCGCACATTCTCTTATACAATGCATAAACTGTTGCAATATCGGTAACACCCACTCTTCCGATTGACCAACGAAATCCGAAACACAGTAAAGATCCATCCACCTATGCAACCGTTGCTGCTTGGCATAATCAGAGTGCGACCTCAGTAGATTCACGCAATACAGCCACAAAACTGGAGAAGAACCAAGTGCATACAGCTGAGACATCACCAAATCTCTCGTTACATGTGCTAATAAGATCACCGAAGGTCAGCGGAAGTAGGTTGCCTTGACACTTTTGTGCACAATCGTTCTTGAGTCCAAGACAAATTACTAATGGGATAACCAGTTGGATGACTTAAAGCAATGAAAATTTCCTTTGTGATCAGATCGGAGTTCAAGCCAGTCCGACTAATTCAATGCGCATTGCTAAACATCCAAACTCTTTCGAATTGCTTCCTTACTTGGAGCGTGTTAATTTGGCTGGAACACGAATGTGCCCCATCGATGTTCAAGCCCTCTTCACTAACATCCCTGTGAACGCGAATGTTGTCTATCTATGCAAGTTTACCTCAATTAATGATATTCGACTTCAGGTTCCCATACAATTGTTGAAGAACATGTTTATTTTATGCACGCAGAACATCAAGTTTTACTTTTAACTGAATGCATATCGGCAGGTAGATCGCGTGGTCATAGGTACTCTATTAAGCCCGTTGTTGGCAGACGTATTCATGGACAGGATTTAAGAAAAGCGGATAACATTAGCTCGGTGACTCTGTATAACCGTTCTGTTAATGATATACTGCTATTTATGAAATCGGATGTGAATATTGCTCATGCGACCAAGACACTCAACAAATTTTATGCGAAGTTTACGGTGACGCGTGATAATGAGCAAGATAATTGACCTCCGTATTTATACATACTGATTACACGGCGACCAGACGGTTCCGTCGGAAAGTCTGTGTACAGGAAGGCAAACTGGACTGGTCTGTATCTGCATTTTATGAGTTTCTTCTCTATTCAACACAAACGCTCTCTCGTTCGGACCCTCTTCTATCCGGCCCAAATGATCTGCACACCTGACACCATAGAAGCACAAAGGGATTGACTTTTCAATACGCTACATTCCAACGCTTACCTGTTGCAGTTCATTAAGCGTGTCAGTGAAGCAACCAAGCTAGACACTGTGCAAACATTTCCGAAGAAGCCGATCTTCATTGAGATGCCCTCCAGAGGTGGCCGGCTTGTGAAGGTCACCGAAAAATGCATCAGGGCTTCACTCAACTGAGCATACTACGCAGCGGAAATGCGGCTGCACACGTCGACACGACTTCTGCTTATGTGTACGACTAATACACTGACCACGAAGCAATGCATGTCCCACTGTCTAGATAAATTCACTAGTAGCAGCGAAGATAGCTACCTTGGACGCACGACACGAAGTTTAGACGTCAGAGTCAATGAACACACCCCAAGTGGTTACGCAGCCGGATGGTGTCTGCAACAACGGAATCAGTTGAATCGGGGAACCGAGGTCCCTCGGTGGTCTCAAAGAAGTTGCTTACCACCGGACACCGAGTTATTCCTGCTGAGTCCTTTCCGTCTTTCTGCGGGATCGGCGACCTCACACACTTGGGCTATTGGAGGCCATCGTTATCGATCAAGAGCAGCCGCCGCTGTGCATTCAAAAACAGCCGACTGGGAATTTAAGCCTACCCTAATAGCACAAATGCGGAGCTACATATGATTAGTAGCAGTGTTGGTTGTTCATTTACAAATCATTGCTGCATGTTTTGGTGTTTTGAGAAAAATGCACGAAATGACAAATTCACCTCACCAATTCCATGTTGCATTTTTACTTTAGTGTACACGCTACATACTGTTCAATATTCGACAACGCATTTTGCGCGTATCGGTTTGGTTTACAAGTAAACTGTTTTACATTATCTGCACGTGTGTGGCGAAAAATCGGAGGCACATTGTTTCACAAAGACTTTCAAGGCCAACGAATTACTGGAGCTGGACGATAAATTTGAGGAGGGATTTTCGGAACATTCATTATCATTGCGGATTTCCAAATGTCAGGTGCTGGACCACTCAAAAGACAATAGTTGAACAAAACGGTTAGGCTCACCACGAGATAGTCTGCACATTCTTCTAGATAAAGTACGACAACGCAACGGTTTTCGTTTGCGTCCGTTTTATGGATCCCGTGCAAACCTTGATACGATCAATGTTAACCACTGAACATGAGCTGGCTTAGGTGGACTTGGAAAATACTCCCTGTGGGGCTTAACAAAAGCATTCGTTTTGAGCACATCTGAATGGTTGAATTTCGCAAAAGAGCTTCTGTTAAGTAACTGCTTAAAACATCTCCAGAGACCGCGGCAATCTTTGTTACTTTGCCTCGTCTCTGAATAAGCGCTTTAGTTGTGTTGTCTCAGAAACCACTGCCAGATAAATTTGGCTAGTGTGAAGGAAAATTGTGAATTTAAAATTTTGTGCCGTTTTCCTTCCGACTTTGTTCAGTCAAGAGACCTACTAGTAGACGCCGATATTCCCAGCTGTACAAGCATAGAGTTTATAGTCTGTATTGACAGTTTAGATGAGAAATACTTCCGACATTTTAGTCCCCCTTCCTTATGCAGTTTCAAGTGTATTGACATCACATTTCTTCAGGTTGGACCGCCTATTTCACGTAAGGCCTTAAAGCAGTCGTTCAGCATTTGCAGGAACATAGAGAGCTGGAAATTGCTGAACGTCCTTATTAGGAAGACTAGAAGATAACTTGCTATTCTCGAAGCGTTTCCGCTTCTATAGAGCACCCAAGTTCATCCTGAACAACTACCCGGATGTCATTTTCCTGGGAAGCACGTTGCAACTGACGACTTGCATAAATAATCACTTGGCTTGCGCTCATAGCTTTGCGATTCCAAAGTTGAACTGGAACTGCTTTTTGATGACTAGGAATGGCTCCTATTGAGATTCCTTTGCAGTGCGCATGCTCATCTACTGACTTGATGCTATGCCAGATCTTGAAGTGTTCTGCAATTATCAGGTAATGCCGCTGATGAGGGCTAGCAACATACGTGGCCCCAGTTCAGATCACTGACGCTCATCACAATGGAGCTGTGGATTCTCATGTTCGTTTGATGGTGTATGGAAATCTTGGGTGGGGGTTTTGCTGTTATCCGAGCTAAGTGATTATTGTACAGACGTTTCGTTGCCTGACTAGGCAACATCATCAGTGCGACTTCAGGTGTCTGGTTCGCAGTGCCCCGTAAGCGACTTCCGAGGATTGTTGTATGCTCTAGGTCGAATTGATGGTTCTCGGCATCCATATGCACTGACATCAGGGAGTTGTGATTGTCGCGATGAATGGCTAGGTTGTGTTCGTGTAGCCTTGTGCCAAGCTTTCTTCCAGTCTGTCCCACCTAGTATTTGTCGCAGTTTCGTCAGCAGAACTTATAATTCACACCAGTTTCTTACTCTTTGCCAACTTTATCTTTCACTTTGAAAAGTTTACTGCGAACGGTTTCCGTTGGCTGGTGTGAAACTTTGACTCCAAAAGGCAATAAATGCCTCACTACAATTGCAGAGATTCTGTTGATATAGGGCTGTGTTGTTCATTTATCACCTGTTGCATTTGTCGAGGTGTGTCGAGCAACATTTTGTGATTGCGACTTTTGAGCTGTTTTCCGAGCTGAGTGATTATTGTGCAGACATTTCTTTGCCTGACTCGGCAACATCATCAGTGCGACTTCAGGGGCCTGGTTCGCAGTGCCTCGTAAGCGACTTCAATGTCCAAGTGCGTCCACACCCCGAGCTACGGATATGCTGATTTATTTCAAATATGGAAATGTTGCTCATCCAACTTGGGATAGGATCCCCGATTGCATGTCTTTGGACATAGTGAAGGAGAATGCTTTACAGAAGTCCAGGGAAACTTCGTTGATACCTACTTTGACATCGACTCATTCCAACCAGTTTGCTTGGGTTTGCAGCAAATTTGGTGAGCAGGATCGATTTCGGCTAACACTTTGATGCTGTGACATGGTGATGTGGTTACCCTCAAGGTATCACACTACAACACAGATTGAGCATTTTGATAGACTTGAGTCGGTACCCTGACGAGAAAGCACGATTTAGATCATCAACCGTATATACCAAGGACTACTAAGCAGTATTCCGCAGTACTTCACTGACCACTGCTTAACCACTTTTATTTCAGCACATTAAAACTGTTTCTGCTCCCATTCGACAGAACAAAAGCTGCAAACCGAAAATTCAGTACAGTTTTCATACGATTAAACATAAGCTGGATTTGTGTTTTTCAAATAATTTTCCCTTCTAAGTTTCAATTTCTTACCAAAACACTAAACTAAAGCGAAACCGTGATTTGACCTTATAATCACTTTATATTTTGCCCATTCGGTAGGTGATCTGCGGTTTTCTTATTTTGTTATGGGTTACAAACTGATTTCACTGCTTAGAGATCAACTTGTACTGTGATTACTTTTTCTCATCGTGCTTGTATAGGAAGAAGAGTTCAATCCGGGAAGTTTCAGGTTTGCATAAGCGACTCACAATCGAAGAAGTGCATGCGACAATTGCCCGGGACGGACAACATCTGTTCATACATAGAAGAAGGGTGTCCGCTGAAAGAAGATGGTGTATACACGTTTAAAAAAAGCGTCTTTGTACCCGATTATGCGGTATGTTGTTAATATTTCCGAGGCTTTCTTTTTGCTTGTTTATCGAGTGCTTAGGAACCGCGATTTTGTTTTAACTACTGTCATTAAATTCGAAGTAGTTTCAGTACAAAGGCATGTAAACTACTCCTTTCCAATTTTAGAGTAAAGGTGAAGAACGCTTCACGTTTTTTGACGCGGATTGCAACGTGATTGCATGCGCGCAGTTCCCAATGGAAATTCGGTCAAAGAATACGTACATACCGCAAATTCTGTACACGGATGACAGCTATCCCTGCGGAGACAAAGCACAAAGCATTATTTTCTAATGTACTTTGCCTCTTTGCGTTTGATTAGTTTAGAACATCTTTAAAACATTAAAAGCAAGATTGTAACAAATACACTGTTAATTAATCGTTTCCGTCACTTCTTTTGTAAGAAACTGGATGTGCGCTGGTTGTAAATTTGTGATTGGTAACAAGGCTTTATGAATGTAGGCAATCGAACTAAAAGACCGTGCTGGTCGCTGTAAAATATGTCATGGGCAATGCTATGTCATGTTATATATAATATATATATATATATATATTTATATGATGGTGTGTGTGCCGGATTCGAAGGAACAGTAATGAATCCTTTAGATTGGTCGCCTATCCTCAGGCACTTTTAACGTAAAAGTCAGCGGTAGTGATGACGCTGCTAGCATTAATGGGTCGCGTTAACTCCTGGCTACTAAGCGCTTGCTGCTTGCTGTATTCCACATTCGTTCGTGCATTCGATTGGACATATTGGGTGTAGTGATCAACAATTATCCCTGAAGTTCAGGTACTCTACAACCCTTCCTCGCTTTGGTCTGCATTTTGAAAAATCGTTGTTCAAGGCCCAAGAAGTTTCGTTGCAAGCACACACACGTTGGATCTTCCATGTGTAAACTGAATAATCCCGGCAAGTAACTGACTAGCGGTTAACACACTGACGCTTATACCACAGGTTCCGTTCCCATATTAGTCACGAGAGTGAGTGTAGCTAAATTTCCCGCTGATCATCCGTCATACTGAACTTATGTTTGCTTAGGGAAAGGCAGCTACTATCCAGATATGCGGTGGAAGGGCAAAGGTACATGCTACAATTTAAATTAAAAATGTCCAATCATCTGTATTGACTTAGAAGTAATTCAGTCCAACTGTGGTGGTACGGTAGTGGTTAAGTGAATATTACGTTAAAAGATCAATCCACGCACAGCAGCAATTGAATTGTAGCACAAAATAGTTAAAAATAGTTTGAGCACTTTTTGATAACCTAATGTAGGACAAGACGCAGCGGAATTTACTAGATGTATTCTTCCTGTGATCGTGCCATATCGGTTAGCAGAGAATCTGTAATATTACCGCCTTCTAATGCATGTAGCAGATGGCATCTGCAGCCCACACTAACGATAAGACATCACTCTATTATTGTATCGCTTATGTGTGCATCATTCCACCTAGTAACAGTATGGATGGTATTCGTTTCCATATCCCTCTATCTGTTGCTATCTATTGGTGATGCCCACACTTCTGACTACATTTATGGCTGCCATTCGGCTTGACGTTTAAATGTTAACGGACTAGCAACGATGGTATTTTATTGGAGTCAGGCATCGAGCATACGACCTTAAGAGAGCAAAGTTAGTCGGCGCGAGCACCAAGTCGAAGGGCTTAGAGACCACGCTGGGTAGGAACTCGCCGCTTAATTATTATCCGGGGTAATTTATCCGATCAAATGTGTATCATGGTTGGGCAGTCAGTAAGGGTTTGGCGGAACACAAAATCGTGCGCATCGTAGAAAGAAGGAAATGAAAGTGCGCCTTGAATATATCGCTCACTGCAGTTTTCATGGCAATTACAACAATCGACGGTGCGCGAATTAGGTTCAAGAAATTCTGAATGCGCCGTGATTGCAATTCAATGATCAGTGCATTCTGGTTTGTGACAACCCGTTGCGCCACACCGACCCGGAGAACCTCTTCCAGGAGGAAAGGTAGCGATCAGGAAGACTGCCACAACTAGCGCAATTTTATACATAGCTGAAACGTAATGAAGGAGTATGGATTGTTATCAAAGCATATGTGTGGGACGCAATGTGGACTAGGTATTGTGAACTGCTTAGAGGGGATCCGGAATGTGACCTGAGCAACAGCGAGCTCCGCACTAGTTCTCTGGTAAACGTTGTATCTGAGGCGCGCGGAGTGCAGATAATAGCAAACGAATAGGCACTGAATTAACATACACAATATTTGCACGGCAAAGTCTCTTGATTCAGTTGCGCATATTGGTGAGGAACACGCATACTGTTGCACTCGGACAATCCCAACACTCAGACAGTCATATGTTGCAGGGGTATTCCGCTAACGATCCAGTCACGTGCCGCAGCTCAGACCCGGTAAGCACCTGTGCTGACTTCCAGATCACCCTTTCACGTACACGCTGCGGATGCGCGCTGACATTGTGTGTCTGGTTCGAAAGCCCCAGGCACAGCAACACCTCGCCTACGACACATCACGTGTGTTGGTGGACACGTTGTGTACCATGCAAACTTGCCAAAACGCACCTGCGTCTGGCCGTGGTCGCAGGTGCGGATCCTACTACGGTAGCAAAACATACAAGAATTATTCTAGATCACCAAATTCTGCGTGTGACGTTTGTCAAGCAGATTCCAATCTGTCTCTGCAAACACATTACCGAGCTGGATTTGCTCCCCACTGCCTTGTGGGTCAGGCTATTGAGTCAAA